GGAAAAATTCCCCCTCGACTACAGATCTCAGTTTAGTTTCCTCTGCCTGTGATGTGATGGCGACCGATCTTTCGCCGTCCATGTCTGAGCTTCAGTGTCAGCAGGTGAGGATCAGCCAGTGTGGCTTCATCGCTTCGTTGAAAAGCATCGAACCACGCAAGCCATCTGTCTAATTCTCAGCACCTCGGATACCTCGGTAAGGTCGGCTAGAGCCAAGGATCGATCGTTCATACGTATTCGTATAGCATAGTGCTTTGGTGTGGTAAAGCCAGAGCCTACGAAACCTATGACCACGTTTTATGCGTGCAGTGGTACCTACTCTCTAATTAGGTGTTTGGTGAGTCACCGCAGGGTAACACCTGTAATTCCATTTGTAATGAATTGGATACACGTAAAAACAGTTCGCATTCGACACCCGGAACTAACTTTTTTAGCAGTAGAGATAACCCGATTGCGGTAGACAACCTCAAAGGTACGGTGGAGTACTTGGAAAGGTGAAAGGCGGTAACGGTTCAAAAATTTACTGCAAGCCGAGGAAGACTAGGCGATTCGTCAGGTGCTCACATGGGAATCATAAAAAAGACGAAAAATGGGCTGTGAGCCCCAGTATAACTTGGGTTAAGAAGCTAAACAAGCGTCTGTTATAAAAGACGAGGAAACTTTCTTTCGTCTATACACTAAACACTCTTTATACAGAAAATTTGGGGACTGTCAAAAATCTTATGCAGCCTGTAGAGCTGCCACGCGGTAACAGGTGAAGGTGACAAATAAACATGATTCCTGCAGCGATTTGAGATCCTATATAAGGTAAAGCATTTGCATCATTCATATGGCGTCCCTCAGCTACACCTGACATTGCATGATGAATGAAAACGGTCTTCTGATGTCCCTTTTCGATCAGGTCCAAGCTCGAGACCCGTTGCAATAAAGGCATATAAAAATCATCTGTAATAGCAGGCTAGTCTCTGAACAAAGTTTAAAGTGCGACTGTCATAGGGTCGTGACAGCTATTCCAGGATTATGGTATTACACCCAATCGATCGATCACTTAAGTGATAATGTCAAATATCATCCGCTGTACAGAGGAATGGCGACATTAATGAAGTCATTAGTATGATCAATGCTTACGCCATCAGTGTCGAAGAAATTATACATTTTCATCACTTCCCTGACATCAACCATCAAGTTTGTATCTTTCGTCCA